TGTCCTCTTAATGTTTATTTTTTGTATAAAATCAAATATGTAACTGTATAACCTTGCATAATAAAGTGTACACCATAAAAAAGGAGGGGTGGTAGGAGAAACGAACACTCTTACGGATTCAGAGTTAAATGGTGCTCTGTGTTCCATTCTCTGAGGCTGTGGGTCCCTATAATTGCACCAGAGGTGGTACCCCCCTATATATATATATATATATATATATATATATATATATATGTCGTACCTAGTAGCCAGAACACACTTTTCAGCCTACTATGCAAGGCCCGATTTGCCTAATAAGCCAGTTTTTCCTGAATTAATATATTTTCTCTTATTTTTTTCTTATGAAATGATAAAGCTACCCATTTCATTATGTATGAGGTCAATTTTTTTGTATTGGAGTTAAAATTAACGTAGATATATGACCGAACCTAACCAACCCTACCTAACCTAACCTAACCTATCTTTATTGGTTAGGTTAGGTTAGGTAGCCGAAAAAGTTAGGTTAGGTCAGGTTAGGTAGGTTAGGTAGTCGAAAAACAATTAATTCATGAAAACTTGGCTTATTAGGCAAATCGGGCCATGCATAGTAGGCAGAAAAGTGCGTTCTGGCTACTAGGTACGACATATATATATATATATATATATATATATATATATAATAATTATATATATATTATATATATATATATATATATAATGAGGTTATCTTGAGATGATTTCGGGGCTTTTTAGTGTCCCCGCGGCCCGGTCCTCGACCAGGCCTCCACCCCCAGGAAGCAGCCCGTGACAGCTGACTAACTCCCAGGTATCTATTTACTGCTAGGTAACAGGGGCATTCAGGGTGAAAGAAACTTTGCCCATTTGTTTCTGCCTCGTGCGGGAATCGAACCTGCGCCACAGAATTAAGAGTCCTGCGCGCTATCCACCAGGCTACGAGGCCCCCCCCATATACACACATACACAGTATAATATTATAGTATATTTTGGTAGCAGTCTTTCTGTTAAACGTATTTCATTTAAAACGACAAAGTTTTAGATTTATGATTCTGGCACGAATCTTCTCGACATTCCTTATGTTATTCTTCAGTGAAGGAGGAAGTTGAAAAGTTAACTCTCCAAAGCTCATTTTTACTTATTACTTGGGTCTGACGCCTAGTGATGCGTTTCGTAAGGTCACTCCTCACATTCTCAAAGACAAATTCTACTGTGCTTTGCACCTGGTTATATCCGATATGGTGAGGTGGTTAGGTGACACATGGATGAATGACATTACATGGGGGGTTATTAATAAGGTATTAAATGTATCAACATAGTGACATGTTGGCAGTTTATGTTCTGGCTGCTTCCGTTCCTGTTACAGGGTCATTCGGTCCTGCTTCTACGATGGCCCGGGGTCTTGATGTGGGTAGAGTGTAATTGTGTATTTAGCTGGTTATTGATTGCTGGTCTAGATTTCTTGATATGCAGCGTTTCACTGATATCTAATCTTCTCTTGTCATTGTATCTATTAATTATTTCAATGTTGCTCGTCAAAATATCCCTGGTGATCGTCTCGTTGTGTTAGGAGATTATATGTTCCTTGATGGAGCCCTGTTGTTTGTGCGTTGTTAATCGCCTAGAGAGGAACGTTGTTGTTGTCTTGCCTATATACCGAGTTCGTTGGCGGCTGACAATCCCCAAGTGGTATGTGAAGGCGTAGACAACGTCGGTGTCTTTCAAAGCGTTTTTCTTGGTGTCGGGAGAATACTTCATTAGCAGGTTGGCGGTTTTCTTATTCTTATAATGTTACATCTATCTTTTGGTTGACGTCAGTCGGGGGTAACGTTCCTCTCAATGACCTCTTTTAGGGCTCTGTCCTCCGCCTTGTTGGCCGTGGAGAAGTTTCTGTAGAACAATTTTACTGGAAGTGCAGGTATTGTGGTGTTGGTGGCTCCGGTACCTGTTGCACACTTACACACCTTCCTTTTTACCATGTCTTCGACATAACCATTGGAGAAACCATTATCGACAAAGGTCGGTAATGGTTTCTCCATTATTGGGTGTGGTGGTGGTGGTGGTGGAGGAGGGTGTGTGGTGGTGAAGAGAGTAGTGTTAGTGTGATGTACACAGTAGTGGAGGCGGCGGCACTGTGCTAGAGTCAAGCTAGACAGGATGTCTGTGGCCGTTATCGTCTCCTCGGGGAGTACGCAAGTGGTCTACCCCTTAATAACCCCCACTACGTGAACACCCACACCATAGGACACGCATTATAACACACACACACACACACACACACACACACACACATACACACACACACACACACACACACACACACACACACACACGTCTCTCAAGTTACTCGACCAACTTTTACACTTGGTGACCAGCATAAGGAGAGCCCCTTAGAGCTGATAGACGGGAAGAACATCCACACATCCACCTCTCATGCCTGTGCAGAAGTAGCTCACGACACTACACCACAGCACATCACTGATTCATATAATCAACACCATACACACATTACGGGCTCACCATAGCCCGTGCTACATAGACACTTCGTTCTGAGTAGCTAAATCTAAAACAACATACACAGACTAAACTATAATGCTCTCCGATTTCACACAACATAATCACAGTGCACAAAGGTAGATTTTTGTTACGTTTAATGGCTATTCAAGTTTGACTGGACTACGAGAGTCAGACTTCAATGTCCGGAAGTCCCACACGCACACACATCTCTCCACTCCTGGTAATCGTTACCTTACTGAACACATGATAACATAGACAAGCAGTTTCTACTGATATCTTATATTTTACACATACTGGGCGAGACTGAGTTCACTGGACGGAAGGGCTTCCAATATTAGGTCACTGGAACACTGAGGTTTGGAACATTAGGTCCCTGGAACACTGAGGTTTGGAACATTAGGTCATCTGGAACACTGAGGTTTGGAACATTAGCTCCCTGGAACACTGAGGTTTGGAACATTAGGTCCCCCCTGGAACATTAGGTCCTGGAACACTGAGGTTTGGAACATTAGGTCCCCTGGAACACTGAGGTTTGGAACATAAGGTCACTGGAACACTGAGGTTTGGAACATTAGGTCCTCTGGAACACTGAGGTTTGGAACATTAGGTCCCTGGAACACTGAGGTTTGGAACATTAGGTCATCTGGAACACTGAGGTTTGGAACATTAGCTCCCTGGAACACTGAGGTTTGGAACATTAGGTCCCCCCTGGAACATTAGGTCCTGGAACACTGAGGTTTGGAACATTAGGTCCCCTGGAACACTGAGGGTTGGAACATTAGGTCTTTGGAACACTGAGGTTTTGGAACATTAGGTCACTGGAACACTGAGGTTTGGAACATTAGGTCACTGGAACACTGAGGTTTGGAACATAAGGTCACTGGAACACTGAGGTTTGGAACATTAGGTCACTGGAACACTGAGGTTTGGAACATTAGGTCACTGGAACACTGAGGTTTGGAACATTAGGTCCCTGGAACACTGAGGTTTGGAACATTAGGTCACTGGAACACTGAGGTTTGGAACATTACGTCACTGGAACACTGAGGTTTGGAACATAAGGTCACTGGAACACTGAGGTTTGGAACATTAGGTCACTGGAACACTGAGGTTTGGAACATAAGGTCACTGGAACACTGAGGTTTGGAACATTAGGTCACTGGAACACTGAGGTGATACAAAGAGCGCTGGGTCATGTTTGTAAGAACTAACAATAACCTGCTACCCGTTAAGCCAACTTTATTCCTGCCTGTTGTTGTTGATTTTAGATTTAGTTACTCGGAACGAAATGTCCATGTAGCACGGGCTATGGTGATCCCGCAATATTCCTGCCTTCCGTATTGTGTTCAACACCATGAGTCCTGGACCCACCAAGGGTCAGGTGAATGCTGGCTGGTACACTCGGCTTTGCACGGAAAGGCTGATTGATCACGCCCTTTTGGCGACCTGTTTGTTCTCTCGCCTAATACGTCGCATTTGCTTACGGAATGGAACATTCCGTTGGAAATAAGATGTATTGGTAAAATATAAAGCGTAGTCATTTTGACGTTGTGTGTGCATCGGCATCGATAGGTTAGGTGGGTTGCTTGGGTCTGTACTTTTCGGGTTAGTCAAAACGGTTGATTTTTTCTTTTTACGGTGTGTTAAATTGAGAGATGCGGCTGGTTCACCGCATGTGGATATAAGCTCCCCTACGGGCTCACCATAGCCCGTGCTACTTGGAACTTATTGTTCTAGGTAGCGAATCTTAAACAACAACAACAACATGACGTTGATATCAACACCTTCAAATTAAACCTGTAACTCTGCGTTTTAGCCTCCATATTCGCATTGGTTTATTTACAATGCAATTGCTGGAGCACGGAGCCAAAACATTGCATCACTGTACAAATACTTTTTTTTGTATAGGCGCGTCCAGTAGATGACTTCTGGCTCCTAGTAGATGGATTAGAACATTCCCTTCCATTCCTCGTATAAGCCTTACCGTACTGGTTTGCCCTGGAACACGACCCGCTAATGGTTTTACAACCAGGTCCCCTAGTTACTGTTGGGTGAACAGGAGCAAACAGTTAAGGATTGGTGCTCAGTAAGTCATCCCTGGTCAGGGTTCGAACCCCATAAGAATTCACTCGCCAGGCGCGGGTCGAATGTTTTACCACAACGACGTAGTCATGAATATGAATACACATATATATACACTGTCTGGTTTATATAAAAATATATTTTCGTTGTTCTGTGAGGCTGCTTGGGGCAATGGGCAGCGTGCAGGAGAGGTGAGGGTGTTATTGTTATAGATTCAGCTACTGGGAACAAAGTTGCAAGTAGCACGGGCTATGGTGAGCCCGTAGTGGACTTACCCGGCACAGGAGCGGGGGCTGTGGTGGGGGTGATGGTGTATAATGGTTTAGCTCTATACTTCACGGAGGCCTCAACTCTTGTCTGGCAAATATGCAAGGAAAATGTGCTTGACAAATATTTTATTATTTCAGAGTGAAGAGATTTCTCCTCCTGTGCCATGGTGCCTACCGACCACGACAGTGAACCTTGAAAAGCTGGTGTACTTGATGTGTGGAGACTGGTGCTTCCCCCCGTGTGTTGTGGTGTGAGTGATGTGTGTGGGGCAGCCCTCGCTGGGTGTGACGCCTGCCAGCTGGGACTGACACCTGCCTGCTGGGTGTGACACCTTCCTGCTGGGTGTGACGCCTGCCAGCTGGGTGTGACGCCTGCCAGCTGGGACTGACGCCTTCCTGCTGGGTGTGACGCCTGCCAGCTGGGACTGACGCCTGCCAGCTGGGACTGACGCCTGCCAGCTGGGACTGACGCCTGCCCGCTGGGTGTGACGCCTGCCCGCTGGGTGTGACGCCTGCCCGCTGGGTGTGACGCCTGCCCGCTGGGTGTGACGCCTGCCCGCTGGGTGTGACGCCTGCCCGCTGGGTGTGACGCCTGCCCGCTGGGTGTGACGCCTGCCCGCTGGGTGTGACGCCTGCCCGCTGGGTGTGACGCCTGCCCGCTGGGTGTGACGCCTGCCCGCTGGGTGTGACGCCTGCCCGCTGGGTGTGACGCCTGCCCGCTGGGTGTGACGCCTGCCCGCTGGGTGTGACGCCTGCCCGCTGGGTGTGACGCCTGCCCGCTGGGTGTGACGCCTGCCCGCTGGGTGTGACGCCTGCCCGCTGGGTGTGACGCCTGCCCGCTGGGTGTGACGCCTGCCCGCTGGGTGTGACGCCTGCCCGCTGGGTGTGACGCCTGCCCGCTGGGTGTGACGCCTGCCCGCTGGGTGTGACGCCTGCCCCTGGGCGTGACACCTGCCCCCTGGGTGCCGGCGGCGGCCAGTGTGTACGGAACAGTATGGCCGCCACGGCCTGGTCTTCGCCGCCGCCACCTCCACCATTACCAACTGTCGCGGTGTAGAAGCCAGCGGAGACGCGTGGTTACCTTAGGGAGCAGCTGGCGGCCGGTGCCACGAGTAACCTGAAGACGGAAATGTCGTCACTTTCCCTCGCGAACATGAACGACAACTCCACGGCGGGTGGTGGAAACTCGACCTACATCGACTATGGCGTGACAGCCGTGGCCACTCTCTCCTTCTTCATGGTGGTGTCGATGGTGCTGGCCCTCGGGGGTAACGTGATGGTGATCCTGACCATCGCCCGACACCGTGGCATGCGCACCAGGACCAACCTCCTCCTGGCCAACCTGGCCGTGGCCGACATCCTGGTGGCCGTCCTCGACATGCCCATTGCCCTCGTCACCATCATCCACGGCGACTGGATCTTCAGCAAGAACTTCTGCTACTTCAACGCCTTCACCGTGGGTCTGGGCCTCATGCTGTCCGTCCACACCCTCGTTGGGATCAGGTATGTCGCGAACTCGTCCACTCGCTGTACTCGCAGTCCTCTCTCCTCATAGTTCTACACCCTCAACCCTCTCCTCGCACTCTCTAACCTTTCACTTGTCTGGAAAAGTCTTAATTGTAGCTTTCGTTTCTAAGAGTATGTCCTGGAAAATTCAAACCTTTCGCGTTGAGACGTCTCACTGCGAGGGAGAAACAAGTGAGAAATTCTCACTCCTCTCATTATTGCCATTTTCGGTAAGTCTGTCATTCCTGGGAATGTGATTGTCTTGGCTCGAGTTCCCCCGACCACCACATCTTGCAAGAAAGGTTAGACCATACATGGGGTGGGTATATTGTCTACCGCTGACCTGGCTGTTCAGTGACCACGATAAGCATATACTAGGAGGGGGTACCCGGCGGTGCCCGGGACAGTCTGCTTCTCCCTCGAACCCCGTCCCCCACCACCCCCCCACCCCGTCTCAAACCACCCGTCTTCTTTTCCCCCTCTTCTTCCCTCACCTCCTTCCCCGTCCTCCACGTGGAAATTTTATCCCTATATATCCCTTATTATGTTAAAAGTAATTAAAATGTTACTATAAAAGGGTACAGATTAAAATATAAAAACATAAGATGGCATCATTTCCAAATAGTAATGATGCCGGGGTGATGTGAGCAGGTGTCGGGTGTTGAGCTCCTAGCTGAGGGTGCTGAGAGCTCCCAGCTGTGAGGGTCCTGAGAGCTCCCACCTGTGACGGTGCTGAGAGCTCCCAGCTGTGAGGGTCCTGAAAGCGTTGATATCCTGGTCTGCTGCTTCCACCAGCCTGGATAACGAATCCACGGTAGTTATCTGTTAGACAATTTGGATACAAAATAGAGTTCAGCATAAGTAAATTATTCCCCGTGACTAACATCTCGACACCTCCCTACAATCTCTCCAGACGCTCCCCGCCCCTTCCCTTCCATAACGTAGACGTGGGATCTGTGGATTGTTTCAAGCGTAGGACAGACGTATATGAATGAGTTTGGGTGGATATAAACAGGAGCTGCTACGTTTGGCAGCTCCTAGTACATGAAAAAGGTGCCTTTTGCAGTTTCCGTCATTCTTATGTTGCTGAGCCGCCAAGAGCACTAATTTTAAACAGCAGAACCCTTGTAAACATTTACATTGATGGCAACGTTGGCTGCATTAAGTAAACACTTCTGCACACAGTGTTTACTCCATGTTTAGGCTGTAAACACACTCGCGTCGGCTTCCTGACGGAGCTCTTAATTCCTGCAATTGTTATATTATTATTTGTGTCGTCTATGTTGATCTGCCGCAACACATAGCTTTACTAAATTACTAATAAATAAATTCTTTTTGTTATATAATTGACACCAATGTTATATCTCCTAGACACAGTACTAACCACTAATTTATCAACTTGAGAATTATATTTACAAGTCACAGTCAACTTAAAGTATTTTTTAGTGTGGGGTTTAAGTTGCTTCTAACTGAGTGCTGCAAAGCGATAAAAATCGCCCTAGATAATTTATGTGAATAAAATGAGACCACGAAAAATTGGATCATAAAAAATATTCACCTATAAAAATTGGCACAAAAAGAAGCTGTTGCATCATCATCGTCGTCGTCGTCGTCGTCGTTGTCGTCGTCGTCGTCGTTGTCGTCTGTCATTGATTTTTTTTCTTGTTGCCGCCGGAAGCGGCTAGTTTCTTGTGCACCCCATACTCATCCTGTGAGTTTGTCATTAGTGGTTCTCATCCGGGACTTTATGGTTGTGCACAGGTTCTTGTACAGTGTCCAAAGAAGCACTGCTACAGCTCATTAACCTCATGAGTTATCAATACAATTCAAAATTGTATGAATCAAGAGGATCAGAACCTCTTGATCTCTACCCGGAATCCAACCTGTCCTCTTAAAAAGAACGTCGCTTTTGGCCGTTTGCCCGTATGGCCGAATTTGGACGTAATTTGAAAATGAAAAAAAAATGAAATTAAATTTGGGATTTTTTTTCAACAACAGTAAGTTAAGGGTCCTCTGCAACCCGTTCTCGCAAATTTAATAAGTCAATATTGACTTATTAAATATGTGCATAGGTGACATACTTAATAGTTTCCCTTGAAAAGCTTCATAGAAAACACCGACCTTACCTAACCTACTTAGTATGTTAAGATAAGCATCTTATTGCTTCGTAATTACAATTATTACCTAACCTATACCTATAATAGGTTAAGTAACAGTTGTAATTACGAAGCTATAAGATGCTTATTTTAACATACTAAGTAGGTTAGGTAAGGTCGGTGTTTTCTATGAAGCTTTTCAAGGGAAACTATTATATTTAGTATGTCACCTATGCACGCAACTAATAACTCAATATTGACTTATTAAATTTGCGAGAACGGGTTGTCCTCTGATAGGTTAGGTGGGCAGGAAATTCTCATAAAGTTTCAAAACGGTATGAAAAACGTTAATGGAAAGTTGCCTCTTCTAACCTTGCAGAGTAAGCCGGACGACTCAAACAGAAAACGGAACAGTACGTCACTTTTGTGAGTCGATTTCATTTCAAATTACGTCGAAATTTGGCCATAGCGCGCATACGAGCCAAAAGTGACGTTATTTTTAAGAGGACGGATTGCATTCCTATTGTGAAGACCTTGCGTAGGAGTAGCTGCCGGGCTCCCTCCCATAGGCCGACGTTTGACCCCGTGTGTGTGTGTGTGTGTCCGGGTGGACGGAATGTTAGTCTGTTGCATTATCCATTATTAATGTTGCATGTTCGTGTATCTCCCTCCTGACCCCACTGGCAGGTCACGCCTACCACCTTCATGTGGGACACAAAATAATTACATATTCCAGCGTGTGTGGTTGCGCACGCTCCCCTGACTGCCTGTTGGAAGCACGAAAACAGTACCGGGTTTTCACAGTACCAGTACTGTGCCAATATCTTCCTTAATGAACACCGCAGTACTATACGACTCGCCTCTGATTTATTATTATTTTTTGTAATATTGGAACTATATGTGCTGATCACACCAACATTTTATAAAGTTATCATAATACCTAAGCGTTGAACACTCCTCAAAACTTTGATTTAGTGTTTTCCCCCTTTGACTTTATGAGTTACGTTGATGAAACCTATAACAATTACATTGTTATAGGTTATATAACCTATAACAATTACATTGTTATAGGTTATATAACCTATAACAATTACATTGTTATAGGTTAGTGATACTGAAGGTGAGAGTTGGGGAGGTGGGGAGAGGGAGAAGAGAAGCAACCAAATCAGGGGAAAATGAAAACATTTTCAATAGAAACATTATTGCATCTGCTTTATTACAAATCACAAAATCATAGCTTATTAACATTAGTAATGATTGGTACACTACGGATCCATTTTGAATTTATCAATTTAAATAACGACTTGAGTAAGATCATTAATACTCATTAATCTTGAGTAAGATCATTAATATTCATTAATCTTGAGTAAGATCAGTAATCTCATTAATATCTCATTTAAATCTCATTATATTGTTGTTCCCTGGAACTTGCATGTATTGGAGAATGGGTCTACTGCAGTTTTATCTTGTGTTCATGAACTAAAGGTACTGTTGTTAACTCATTATTTTCCTCCTCCCTATATATTACCAGGTAGGCAGGGAGCTAAAGAGGTTGATGGTTTGGTTTAAGAAAGAAAGAGAGAGAGAGAGAGAGAGAGAGAGAGAGAGAGAGAGAGAGAGAGGGGGGGGGGAGGAGGGAGGTAAGGAGGTAAGATAGATGAAGTGGATGGGAGGAATTACGTAAACTGCAACACATCACCTTGAGACTCTGGTCTCGTTAATTCTAGCTATCGTGCTCGCGGTAAGCCAAGAATTCCTTTACAGGAGGCATGTCATTAGATCACTGTACAGCACCTACTTGAGACCAGATGCAGAGTATGCAGCTCCCTAGTGGAGCCCCGGCTTCATAAAACGTTTAAGGAGACTTCAAAAAGTACCGAGGTTTGTAACGAGGCTTTTCCCAGAACTATGAGGAAAGATGGGATATGAAGAAGTACTGAAAGAACCGGACCTAACGTCGCTAGAAAAGAGGAGAGAAAGAAGAGAGATGATAGATGTATCATACATAGTTACGGGATTAACAGAATGGAAGAGAGGAAATGATAGAAAAATAGGTAGAGTAATTGATTTAGATGGTTGCACAGGCAGGGACCAGGAACTTGAGCGCCTCTTTACAGGCAGCAATAGGAGAGCGCGCGCACGCGCACACACACACACACACACACACACACACACACACACACACACACACACACACGGAATGCACTTGGGGAACAGGTTGTGGAATCAAACTCTATTCATAATTTCAAAAATAGGTATAATAGGGAAATGGGACAGGAGTCATTGCTGTAAACAACCGATGGCTGGAAAGGCGGGATCCAAGAGTCAATGCTCGACCCTGCAAGCACAAATAGGTGAGTACACACACACCATCCATTGTGAGTACAGTAGCTTGAAATACGCTCACCTAAGTATACTGACCCCGATATACAAACCCAAATATTTTGAGGTAAGAAAATAGACGCGAAACCATAACGGGTCCTCGTAGCCTGGTGGATAGCGCGCAGGACTCGTAATTCTGTGGCGCGGGTTCGATTCCCGCACGAGGCAGAAACAAATGGGCAAAGTTTCTTTCACCCTGAATGCCCCTGTTACCTAGCAGTAAATAGGTACCTGGGAGTTAGTCAGCTGTCACGGGCTGCTTCCTGGGGGTGGAGGCCTGGTCGAGGACCGGGCCGCGGGGACACTAAAGCCCCGAAATCATCTCAAGATAACCTCAAGATAACCATGCTGGCTCTCCCGAAGACACTGTAGTATGGATAGCGACGACTAGACGGGGGTAAAACACACGTGGAAACTGCAGTGACTTTAGTCACTGACTTAACAAAAGACAGTAGAATTGAGCCGCTGACTGTAGCCAGATGTGTTCCAATTGAATTTAAAACTCAAGTATGGGTCAAG